AAAAAAAAAAAAAAAAAAAGAACCAGAAACGGAACTTGGGAGAAGTAGAGATAGTACGTGACCTTGATGTTAGGCAAGGTCATGAAGTTCTTGGTGATGTGAACAACAAGCTTGTCCATGAAAGCAGGAGCTATGTAGAATCCGCCCATGTTGTTGTCCAAATTGTATCTGCAACAGATTTTACCAGCTTGTGATTAAAGACTGAAGCCCCTGGTTCCTGAAATGTGATGATCAAGAAATACCCATTTGCACGAATGCAAACAAAAAAAGGATCACGTACTGTCGAAGACCAGTGCTGATGTACTCGTAGGAACTCATGACGGCGTAGTGAGTTCCAGCATCCTGGGGAGCTTGGAAGAGGGAATCCACCATACCCTTTCCTCTGGTGATGTCTTGCTGGTCATCGGATATGTCGTAAATAAGGCCCTTCCATCTGTCTTTGTTGGTCTGCTTTGTCTCATCGACTTCCGCGACCACCTTGAAGTTTCCCGATGAAACCTTTGGCTGACTGAACCCAGAATTTACCTTCTTCAAACTGTTTCCGAAGAAGGCTGAGCTAGGCACTGATGTTCCAGCACCAGAGCTGTGCAAGCTCAACTGCATCGAAGGTAACCCCGTCTTTATACCGAATTTAAATAAAACCCAGAAAACCTAATTCTCATAAATCAAGTCAAAGGCTCTGAATTCAAATGATCACCCTTGAAAACACAAAATTCCTTAATGTGAAAAAGAAAATAAAGCAAAGTTTAGGAATTCGAATCTTTTAAAACCAAATACATAAACCCATAAGCAAAATAGATGTACAACTAAAACAATGTAGAAGGGAGATAACAAGCAACCATGGAGCAAGAAGAACCCAAGAACAAAATGGAGAAAGGGCGGGAAAACCACTGTACCGGTGCCCTATTAACAGCTCCGACGGTTGGGACAGCGGTAGCCATTTTGTCGTACGAAACCCTACGGGCCGGTAAGATGGAACCAAGGCGCCCAAGAGAGCACGAACGAACTGAAACCGCAGGGTTTGTCTGAGGAAACAAAGTAACGAACAGTAAAGGCTTTATAATAGAAGCTGAGTTTGTGAGTGTTGTTGAGAGTCTTGACTCTTGAGATGAGCCATTTGAAATCCCGTGGCTCAGCTTACGAATTCCTAACGGCCACACAATGGAGATTGGCCGATGACATGTGGCAGCCTCCGAGGGCGCGTGCTCTTCTGGGATAAATTGTGTACAAAAACGGGAGGCCTCTCGACACTGTAAGTGGGTTTTGGGGTTAGAGTCCAAGGTTTCGTCTTCTCCACTAAAAATCTGGTTATTTTATTACCACATACTCCATAATTGTATGAGAGAAGATGGGAGAACATGGACATCCATTTGTCCGTAACTGCTACGTGTAAGGCACAAGATCGTTCCTATTCATCATCTGATGCATGCAACTGACCCATATTTTTCACTAAATAGTAAATACCATATACCCCAGGTTAAAGTTGTTTACTTCTATTGCTCCAATTTGCAAAACAATGGGATTGATTTAGTACATTAGATTAGAATTCCAACAGAATAGGCCTTCTATCTTCTTTTTCATTTCTTCAACTACCCTTTGAACTGTTTTATTGGGGGTAATGGAGTTGACAATTAATTAGGTAAATTACCTGACCACAAACGGTTGGTCGGAGCAGTCACTAAACAATGGGATTCATGTCTATCTTCAACCAATAAACTAACTACGTCTACGCGGTTGCATCACAGCCAATAGACTCCTTTATTTTCGTCCCATTCGGAAGAAACCATATGCGACAAACAAGATAAAGATGGTTGGTTTATGGTAAGCGTCTGCTAGACACAATCGAGCCCCCCCCCAACTTGCAACTTGCAACTTGCAAGGCCTCATCTGTCTACAACGCCAATCCTGTGGTTAAAAGCAGTTCTCTGTGTGAGGTAGCCATGCATTTTCAAATTTTATAATTAATATTCTTCTTAACATGAGCATGCGCAGCGATGAAGTACTTGGGACTTAATTGGGAGGAGATAAAGCAGTTCTCCTTCCAAATCTTGTGGTTATTATGGGAGTCCCAAGATAATAGTTTTAGGCGGAGGAAAGCTTAGACTGCCCTCCTATAGAGGATTCCATAAATGGATCTTCAACAATATTACTTGGGGTTTCTAAAACCAGTTCGGATTTCCTACCAACTTTATCTGCTCTCCTCTATACTAATCCAATTAAACATCAATCACTTTAGTTGATGTTTCTTTCTCCTACCATCTCTTCATTACATCTACAATATTCATTCAGAAAAAAAAAAAAAAAAAAACTTTGAAATCATTGCCAGTCGCTCTCTCTAAGTAGGGAACCCTGCACCATTGCAGCCTTTGCAGGACGCTCTATGGTTTCGTGAAAATTTTGGTTCTCGCCAAAGTTAAATAAGTGGGTGATGGAAATTTAAAATGTAAGTCTGTAATGTAGATAAAGCTCAAGCCCAGGATCAAATCTGATGCAAGAATGCAATTCTTGAAATCATGAGGTTGGTCGGAGCAGTTAAGGTTAATAGCTATGCTATTATTAGAGTCCATTTGGTTTGTGAGAATAGGGGTCTGAAATTAAAATCAGAATGATCCATTCGGATTCTAATGTTTGGTTGGAGGGAATCAAAATCCGATTCTCATTCTTGGTAGAATGACATTTTTGCATTTAAAAAAATGGTTATTTCCTCCTCCTCCCTTCGGAACAAGAATCTCACTTCAGTCATTTTCAATTTTGATCTTAATTCGCATCTGAACAAAACAGATGGGCGAATAGACCATTCCAATTCCAATTTGAAAGGATTTTTTAAATTGATTCTAATTCTGACAGAAAGCCAAACGGACCCTTAAACTTGATGGATAAGGATAACCTTTTCGGTGTCCCGTGCGGGTCATGGGTTGAATAGTTCTACTTGTTCAAATAAAAGTAACCGAAAAAACTTGCTCAGGCAAAAGAAAATATATATGAAAATGGTTGTAATTATCTTTCAAATCAACAATTAAGAGGGGCTCACATATACGCATGGTTCACAGTATTGATAGTTTGATACCCGCCCGAAACCAAAACTCTTTTATTTTAAAATTTTGTCAAATTTTTTGGCGCATAGTCCAGCTCGTAGAGGTTTAAAAGAGTCGGGCATTTTCATAGATGCTATGCCGGTTGGAATGGCTAATTGGGTGGATCCCAAGTTTCGAACTGACGAACTCTATCTGTTTGTCATCTTCTTTTTTTCAGTTCAATGAAACTCAATTTATTTTACCAAAAATAAACCATAGATATGTTAGGTGGGGTTATTATTTTTGAACTTAAAGACACCTAAGACCATGGTTTTAAAAAACGAACCGATCAGGGGTCCAGTTATCGGGTCAAACAGTCCAACCGTTCAAACCGAATGATCGGCCCGACCCATTCTGACAAAAAAATTAAAAAATAAAAAAAATAAAAAACGGTCAAAACTATTCGAATGGTTAACCGGCCGGGTCAGCGATTTACTGACCAAAACCAACGGTTTTTGAAGAAAATCCAGTTTTGGGAAAAACCAAAACCGGTCACTTGACCAGTTCCCGGTTTTTCCAGTCCAACCGTCTGGTCCAGTCCGGTTTTGAAAATCATGCCTAAGACCCTGTAAACACTCAGTGGTTCAGAAACCTATAGATATTGTAAGTTTGACGAAGTCAACATTTCTAAGAACCAGCCAACCAGAACCGTTGTTGGCTGTTGGTTCCCAGTACTGACAGTCCAACCATCCAGTCCTATCCTACAAGTTACAACATTGGTTAGTTCCAACTGTTGAAACCTTCACATTTCAGGTTCAAATGATAGTGGAAAGACATGATACCTGAAAGACTTGTAACCAATAAACCAGTATCATTAAAGTGGTAACCGATCAGGTGGTATTCATCAAAATTCACCTTAAAATTCTTCCAATGCCATACCTTTCCGGCATCACAGACTTACCCTAACATCTCACATGTGTTTCCTGTATTCATTGCCCTATCCAATCATAAGTTTTTCTTGTAAAAAAATAAAAGCAAAAAAAAAAAAAAACACAAATTTTTGCTTTTATGTTGTAGCTTTGCTATCCTTGCGTTGCAAATTAGCCTATCCATGCCTGCCTCCGACAGTTCAGTTCCTTCTCCAATTTTCAGAACTTCTGTATAAATGCAAGCCATGAAATTAAATTTTCCATGGAAGAAATCTTTTAGTTACTGTTTTCAGCTTTAACTATTTTCATTCTTCCCTTTGTATGTCCTGTCTCTAAAAATAAAACAGTTTCCCCAATGGAATTTACTTATACAGCACGACTCTCCACTTCACAGTTCACAATATTATGGCACAAAACAGGGATGCATGATGCACAAATATCCATGGTGTAAGATGATCCATAGTTATCCCATCCTGTTTATCTTGAACAAGTGGAGGAGAATTGTATATTTTTACTTCAAGATTTTGGATTCAATTTCTTCTAACGACAAACCTTTTGTCTCTGGAACAAAAACAATGGCAAATAACAGTGACAGCAAAGCAATGCCCCCAAATAGGAGGAAAAGATTCTCTGCCCCCAGAAGCTCCTGTGGAATTACAGAAGTTTGGTGAATGTAAAGCTTATTATCAACTGAACTATAATGGGGAAAAACAGAAAAGCACTAGTTCTGAATGCAAGAGATCTAAATACCTTCAGTGGGGAGAAAGCAAAGGTTACAATAGCATTTGAACCAAAGTTTGTGAGAACTGCAAGACTAAGTCCACGTCCTCTTGTGCGAAGTGGGAATATCTCAGACACCATGAGCCAACTAATTGGCCCAAAAGATATCTGAAAGTTTGTTTAAAGAGCACAACAATCACAAATATATACTTATTCTTGAGCATATTTACAGAGAAAATGATTTTATTGGGGATGATTATGTGAAGAAATGGGCAATGATATGATATCTTAAAACAAAAATAACCATATTATGTTGCAAATGTAACCATATTTTAACGGGGACAAAAGGCATTCTCCAACAAATAAAACTTAGATGAAGAAAAGGGGGTAGGGGAGAAAAAAAAAGAGAGAGAGAGGGCAGTAATGCAAACCAAATTAAAAGACAAGGAAGCTACCTGGTAGCAGCCAACATAAAGGAGTAGAGCAGCTACAGCAACAATAGGAAAGCCCCCCAGAAATTTATAGTATGCCGTGAGAAGGAACAAAGAAAGTGCCTACAATATGGGGAACACAAGAAGACACATAGATTACTCCAATCAATAACATCATAACACAGAATAGAGAAGAAAAGCATAACAAGAGCAAGAAGACACATACAATGCCACTAACACCTCCAATCAATAAGGGCCGTCTGCCAAGATCATCAACTTTTAGGACCGCCACCCCTGTCATCAGCAACTGGAGGAAGTTCAAAAGAAAAATGATTACTCCTTGTAGACTTTAAATACAAGAACAATCAAAATATGAAATTTTGCAAAGTAGGTTATGCACTGATATTGGCAAAAGTCAGAGAATTTCTTGCTAGCAAAGTTGTTGTACACAGCATTAACAACAATGAAAATCCAGAAAACTTTATACAAGAGGGCATAATCATACCTTGAATGTACCAATGACAACAGAAACACGTGCAGCATCAGCAGCAGCAGAAAACCCAGCACTCTGAGACATGAAAAAGAATCAGTATATTGATGGACCAATCAGTGCTTAAAGAAATATTAGGATCCTGAGCTTTAAAAGATTTTGGGTTGTGAACTACCTGAAGAATGGAACCTGCATAGTACAAAACACTTGGTTGCCCTGTTATCTGTCAAATTATGGCATTAGCTCATTAATTCAGAGTTCTCCTTATGTTATCCATGGACATATTCAATGCATAAAAAGGAGGGAAATCCTAGAACTAAATAGTTAGATCACAAGTAGCTTGAGTACTTTAATGTAAAAATAAAATAAAATTTACCTGCTGAAAAAGGACCAAACCTCCCCCAATTATAAAAGCCTTTAAACTTGATCCTTGAAACACCTCCCAGAAACTGCCTTCTGACTCATCATCCGCATATGCAGATTTCAGTGAGAAGAGAGTATCTTCTACTTGTTTCTCAGATAGTTTATCATCAGCTCCCCTACCTCTTAGCTTTCTGATAGCTTGGATAGCCTTATCTTTGTATTCCTGTAAAGACCCTTTACCTTGAACTGCCCTTAGAAGTAACCAGCGTGGAGATGGTGGGAGACTCCATGTGCCTAAACCCATTAAAGCTGCAATTGGGGCACTAAGCCCATACATGTAGCGCCATCCTCCAACCGCATCAATCTGAACACTTCCAACAAGATAACCCAACTGCAAAGAAACAAAACTTCTATGTAAGCCCATTTGACAAGACCAGTATAAATGAACAAAATGACTACAATTTCCTTCTAATCGAAAGAAATACCAGTATGCCAAGAACTATGAACAGTTCCTTTAAAGATATAAGAGTTCCACGAATCTGAGATGGGCTAGTCTCTGCAATATAAAGAGGAGCTCCATGCATGGCCTGTTCAGAAATGAGTTTAGAATTTAGATATGTCTATTATTTGAGGAAAAAAAAAGAAGTTTCTCTGTACTTAGGCACACACAAACAACATAAGAGAAAAAGAAAATTAGAAGAAGCTCACCAGACCTATACCAAGGCCATAGAGAACCCGCCCTACTATAAGAACACCAAGGTCTGGAGCAAAGCCAGTAATCAAACCTCCAAGAATATATAGTGAGGCTGCCAAAATAAGTTCCCTTCTCCTTCCTTTACAAAATCCATTTCAGGATGTTCAGTTAGAAACGTTTATGTAATTCCAATTTTATTTACAGATAATGGACCAACAGGACAAATACCAAGAAAATCAGCAATCGGGAAGACAAGAATGGAACCAAGAAGAGCTCCATAAAGTGAACCACTAACCTACATTTGATTAAGGAATAAAGGGCCTAATTAAGAACCAATTAATTCTCAAAGTAGAATATAAAAAAGAAAAAATCATTACTGATATGCTAAGTGTAGAATCCATACCACAAGACCAAGCTGTACAGCTGAAAGGTTGAACCATGTCGTGCCACTAAGTTCGGGTGACTATAGCATAACCAGAACCACAGAATATCCATTAAACAATATAGTCCTTTATGATTTGGCCTTTCAAAACAAAAATCATACATATTGGCGAACACCCCCTAAATAGACTAACTAGACAAAAATAAATACATACATACATACCTGCAAAGATATGGTAGCTCCAGAAGTGGCGCCGATGTCATACCCGAATAGTAAACCCCCCAAGGCCGGGAACAAAAACCTAAATTTTAATAAAATAATCCTTCAGCAACTTGTTAAGCATCAAAAGAACAAGTAACCATTTGACAGTGAAACATAGACGTGTATTAGACGCTATTTTGAAAGAGAAAAAAAAAAAAAAGTGAGCACCTCATGCTCGACTTATTGATTCACAGAAACACGTTTTTCTATCTTCGATCATGGAGCAGTTTACCACTTGCATTTATCTCTTCCTCTAATCCAGAAAACAGTAAAGGAAATGCAAACGACAAATTAAATTTAATCAATCATGTTATACGGTATTCTATCCCATATCCTTTAAATTGAGATTCTGTTCAAATCTACAAGCAATAGCTCGATGATCATGTCCAATTATCAGGAAAAAGAGGAAATTAAGAGAGGGAAAAAAAGGTGAAGTAGTAAGAACACACGGCAAAATGACAGAAGACCAAGCAAAATCCTCTTGTTGGGATGCAACGCCAGAAACAAGCGATTTGGACTCTGCAGAGGAATCTTCTTTATGGGCACCAACCTATCAGTAAATAATTCAAAAGAAAGAAGAAGAAAACAACACAAAAAGTAATTAGAAAAAAAGAAAGGAAGAAATAACTATAAATAATTAATAATCAGTTACTGCATTTTTCTTGAGCGAAAAAATTGCTTCATTTTCCTTCTACCTTGTGTCTAAGTCGGCCTCCACCTCCAGGGAGTAAAGGCATTCTCGTAAATAAAGGACTTTTCACGGTTGGGAAGGTACCCTTCAAATTATGATTTTTCGACCTGAAGCTCGAGTGCTGTCGATTCAAGGAAGAAGAGAGCAATTGTATCTTCCTGGATTGGTAAGTCTGGTATGGTTGTGGAAGGCTGAAGAGACTCAACAGAGGTTGAGTCGAACCACTGTAAGCCATGATCGTACACCACCGGATTGGAATTCGATGATCAGAAATCAGAAAAATAGATCATACGGTGGCTAACACTTCCGACACTCTCTCTCTCTCTTATTGGAAAGTCGAGCCTGAAATCTGCATTTATTTGAGTCGGATGATGGTCGCTTCTCCACCTCCCAGCTCTCAAGTGTCTAGGATCAGTAAATCGCGAGATACTTTTCTTGATCATGTAATTTGATCGATTGATTCTTGATATCGGGAGTCGCCGAGTCGGGATTAGGACAGGAAAAGGTGTTGGACTTTTCAACACAAAACGTGGAAGTGGAACACCTTGCTAAATGGCACAACTCTTTTTTTGAATTGAATACTTTCTCCCATATCTGACGCGGTCAAAGCAATAGCCACGTGGAAAACTCGAACATGTAGACATTAAAGTTAAAAGGCCCAATTCCAAATAATGCCAAATTGCCAACGCCTAGACCTCCCTCTCTCTCTCTCTCTCTCACTCACAGCCTATGATGGAGAGGGAGAGGGAGGAAGAAGAACCAATTTGGGAAAGCAAAGATCAGAACAAATATATTACTAAGTTTGACAGATGTAGTAACGAACAGCAGCCCAAATTAGGGATTCGCGAAATATTCATCAAATAGCCGTTACCCTTCAAAACAAACAAGCATGCATCCTCTTTCCCACCTTGTTTCTTAACCGAACCCACATTACCCGCTTTACAGGACAAGTCTCTCACTATCCTTTTTTCTTTTCTCAGTAATAAAACCTTTACATTTTTTGACGAGGAAGACGAACAAGGGGTGAGAGAGAGAAAGAGAGAGAGAAAGAGAACATATATAACAAAAACCTCTCATTTTAATTTTCAAGAATGGCGACCCACAAGCACAGCTTTCACATTCATCAGAAGGGTGGCGAGAGCAAACCAGAAGAGAAGGCCCCAAGCAGGCTAAAAAAGCATGCCCCCACGAAGCTTCAAGTCGATCGCCCCGTCTCCAGTGGCATAGCTCCCTCGCCAGACATGTTTTCAAATTGTGCAATTCCGTTGCTATCCCCCCTTATCCTGTCCCCACCCACGTTGACGTTGCCAGAGGTTGAAGAAGACAAGGCTTCAGAAAAAAGAAATGGGCCTCACCACAGTAGCTATGAACACAAATATGTGCCTACACCGCCTGGCGGGTGGCAACATCCGGCTATCACTCCCATGCCAGAACCTGCTTCTCTTCTTCATCTCTTCAACTCACAATGTGTGGTTGCGCATCAACCCTGATCAGCCTAGCTTCATTTGCATTTTCTCTTGTTTCTCCTTTAATTTCAAGCTTTATTAGTGTTATGTTGTGGTAGTAGTTTGGAACTTTTTTCCTCTCCTCCTCTTTTTTGCCTAGCATTAATTTTCTACCTTGAAAGAGTCAAAGGATGCAACCAACGATCAATTTTGATATTGTTCTTGGAATATGAGGAAATTTCGCCATGTCTTGACGCCCATTTTTATGCTATTTTGCTTCTTCTCTTTCTTTGGTTTCTTCTAATTTATTTTCCAGTAAGAAGGCCTCATAAGATTTTTGTTTTTGGTAAAGAAAATTTCTAGACATTTGTCTGGAATGGAAAACCATTCAGAGTATCAATATACTGATGGTAAATATTTAGAATAAATTACAGACTGCCACCCTGTTCTTAAGGCTGATGACACTTATCCCCCAAAATTGCTTGGTCACAACATGGTTTTGAAAATCGGAATGGACAGAATGGTTAGACCGGTTGATCCGGGAATTGATCAGGCAACCGATTCTGTTTCACCTTAACCTGTTGACTCATGCAGTCAAATCGTCAATCTAAATAACAGTTTTTGGCCGTTTTTTTAATTTAATTATTATTATTATTATTATTTTTTAAATTAGAACAGGTCATCTGTTTGAACCAGATGATTAGACCGTTTGATCCGAGAGCTGGTCCCTAAAAAGGTTTTGTGTCCAGTCCGGTTTTTTAAACCTTGGGCGACAAAGCACCCCACCCCCATGAACTTTTTTGGATTTCAGCGTTCTGTTAACAGAGTTGATGATAAAGGTAAAATTACTAAATTGTTCATTTAAGTTCTATGGACTGAAAGAAAAGCCATCAAAACAATGAAGAGGATCATTTTTAAAATATAATCTCTTTTGAATTTGGTTACAGTGCTTTCAAACCCTTGGCAAAGAGATATTGTGCATTTGTGATTAAGCATATCCATTTTCGGATTTCCATCATTCTTATAGCTTTTGCTCTTGGCCCATCAAATAGGGTGGTTGTGAAAAATTGAAAACCCAGAATTCAAACTGAAACTGAGAATAGCTAGGCTGTCTTTTGTTGCAAAACAAAATTTAAGGGGCTAAGTATCACCACCGCCTAAGTACAAGGTGGTAGCATTTTTAAGCTGGAACTGTTCTAAGTAGAGGGAAAACCTATAATGTAAACAAAACATGATACTAAAAGGTCTTTGACCAATCAAAATGTCATGTGAATTTTAATAAATACCAATTTATTGGTTACCACCTTTACCATACTGATTGATTGGCTACAAGATTTTTTTATCATGTCTTTTGGGTAATCTAAATGGAAGTATCCATTTGATTCATAGTTGGAATTGAAATCAGAATCAGAATGATTCATTCACATAGGAATGGGAATAAGAATTGAAATCAATAGGAATGGAATTTCATTCCTAAGGGAGGGGCAGGGAATGACCATTCCTTCAATGGGGGAATGCCATTCCAGCAGGAATGGGAATGAAATTCCGATTGCATCCAACTAATTCCAATTCTAGACCCCTATTCCCACAAACCAAACAGAGCCTAAGTAAAAAGAGGACTTCAGAGCTACCACTTGTGAGTTATGATTTGTGAAAGGACCATAACTACAATGTGGATGAACAATTTAATCCACTTAGTTTCTAAAGTCCTCAAAGGGTTATTCACAATTTATATTAGATTTAAATTCTTTTCTTTTCAAAATTTACCCCATTCAAATAAAAAATTATGGAACCAATTCGAAATAAATAAAGATTTGATCAAGTAAAAGTAAAGCTACCAAAATTCCATACCTTTTCTAATTTTAAAAAGTTAATAATCATTATAATAAATAATAAAAAAAAAACAATTTGATTAAAAGGTTTAAATGAAAGCAACCTTGGCATAAAAGCAATTGGGAGTTGGATTTCAAAAAGAAAGCAATCCAAAGTCTATAATAAATATTTATATGTTGATGTTTCTTTTTGAGTTTTTATTATTTTAATTTTGGTTGCAACTGATAACAAAAATTCCAGCTTTGCCACTGACTGTGTCCAAAGATATGGGGCGAACATGTTTAATCCTTCACAACCTGAATTTGCATGTGTAATACTAAGATCTAAGGGTCATCCGAACCAAGATAAGCAGGCGCAATCGTCTTGCTCTCAACTAAAACTTTTTGAATGGTTCAGGATTCATCACTTTCAGCACTTTCATGGAGGGAAATGCTCCTTCCATCGTGGATAACAAAACCACGTCATCCATATTGTATGAGAGCTTGACATGATAACATGGGTTATGTAAGGAAGGAGCGGAGGTGAACACGCCGTAGAGGGTGTCAGCTATGAACAACTAGCGATAAGGGAAAGAGTCATGAAATTCTTGTTTTAACAGTATCTGATTCTGCTAAATCATTCCCCCTACAATCAAGGTAAAAAGGATTTCTTGGTCTTGGTCTTCAATAACGGATGCTTTCTTTTACCAGAAGCAGAATCCCCAGTAAAAATTAGCTAATTAGATGATTTGTAGCCCTCTATTTGTAGATGTCTATATGGACTTATTTTGAGTGACTGCCAGTTGCCACAMTAAAAACAAGAAAAAGCATATGAAATTAATTTTAGACACAGTTTGAGTTATCATGTAGGATTGGTTCATGGCTGATCACACTGCGGACCCTGTTTCTCCAATCAGAACGTGAACGTGAAATGTGTCTGCGGACCCTTCTCCCGCCTCCCGGTGCTCGATGGCAAAAGGAAATTTAGCGTAAGATCAGATTCAGATCAGCGTGCCATGTTGCAAGATCTTTGGTGTCCAAGGAAAATGATCACACTAACCAGCCTAACATCATTACAAAGAAATATTTCATGTGGAAAGTGGAAACTCCCTGTAGAGAAGATCAGTGGCAAGTTCACATGTATGCAGGTTGTGTGAATACTGTTGTTTCCCATGCCATCTGTAACTGTAATTAAGCAAGAAAGCTGTGGTATGCGTATGCCAGCACTTTCAATGCTTGCATGGACTGCTACTGCTACCCAAGTAACATTTCTTTTGTAACTTGGATTTTTAATTTGTTCCTTTTTTTTCTGAAAAGTTATGAACGCTTGCATTTTTTTTAGGCTAATTTGTCTTTGCATATAATTGTATCAAATGTTAACAGGCAATTGCAGCCCATGACAGAATCCGAGGAAAGGGTTATCAAGGTGAATGTGGACGGAGGCTTTGGAAGACTAATTTTAGTAGTTTTGGAGCTGTAGTCAGGGATTCTACGAGGACTTGCTTAGCTGCTTGTTTTGGACCTACTTTGTTGTCTTCTGCCGTCCAAGCTGAGGTTTTGGAGCTGGTTTTCAGTTATACTCAGACTTCTTTACTTTCTTAATATATTCTGTTTTACAACAAAAAAAAAAAAAAGTTGAGCAGTTAACAGTGATAGAGGATAGAACCGTAGCAGTCCAAATTGTTTTCATCTGGTTCATTTTAGTTTTTAGGCGTCGTCATCTTATCTTGCATCCCTACTTTCAATTTTCAAGACAACACCCAGCTACAACAGCACAATAAAGTTCAGTAGATGATAAACAATACATGCTGCATCATATCGCAAGACACCAAAACAATTCAGAAACAGAATGTGTGTGCGTGGGGAGTTTGTTATAATTTTACTAGGAAAAAGAAAAACTCCAAATATACAACGCATATGGCAATACACATTTAACGACAGGAATAATAAACCGAAGCATAGTCCTTCCTTAAACTATTGAAAAAGGCTTTTCCTTATGTACAAACATCCAGCCAACCCTCAACTCCTGTAGGCATCAATTTTCCCTTCGGACATCTCCCTTCAGTCAACTGACGACAAGAATGCAAACCTCCAAAATCGCAGCTGCTTGGTGGATTCCTCTTCGTGCCAAAATAACTCAGAAGTCAAATTCTCCAGTTGCCTGCAGCAATTTAGCACCAGATCAAAGTACCCACAAGCAAGAGAACAGTAAACAGGATATAGAATACATCCAGAAAGTGCACCTTGTTGAAGAGGATATCCTTATCCTTTATGTGCATAACGCCATCCTTGAGTGTGCATTTCCACTTGCTTTTTGTCCGTGTCACCTACCAACCCAGATATGTTGTTGTTATATGATCCATTAAACCGCAGTCATCACTTCCAGTAATTTTTACTTCTATATCTATATTAGAAAGGGGAAAGATGGGAGGTGAGGGGTCCTGTCACCATAGATCTCACACGAACCTCCTCTCATTTCTCACATACATGGTTATCTACTTTTGGATTGAATTATTAAATTAAAATACAAGAAATCACAATAAAAACCCTCTTAGGTCTTAATTTTCTCTAATAAGATTCAACATTATTCTCTCTAATAAAATCATTCTTAAAACTACCCCCCCCCCTAATGTTTGTAACATCTCCCTCCCCCATTAAATCCCTTGTTTCCTCTTAAACCTCTCTTGACCCCTTTTGACTCTCTTAATATAAACATGGAACCGAGCCTCAAACCTAACTGATGTCAAAACCCAAATTTGCCAACTTAAACCTAACCAAATTTCTAAGCAACCCTATGCATTGCAAGGGTTTACCTGCTAGTAATAATATAAACTGAAAAGTTTACCTTTTCAAATTGAGCCAGAACCAACTGCTGCATGTTTGGTTCCTCTCCTTGATCCACATCATCCAAATCATCATCATCATCATTTTCATTTAAAGGTGGCTCATCATCATCATCATCACCATCCCCACCTTCATTTTGTGCACCAACAGCCGGCGTACCTACTTGTATATCTAAACATGTGCAACAAAGATAATCATCAATTACTTGCTTCCCAAAAAATTAGTAGTCTCATAGCTAATACGTCAATATGATATGAATTCCAGAGGGACATCCAAAAAAAAATGTTTACCATGGAGAGATGGTGTGTTCACTGTATTGTAGTCTTCACTTGCGACTCCTTGATAAGGGTATAACTTCAAGTCAAAAAGATATTTCAGCAAGGTAAGAAAGGGAATGAACTCACAAAGCAAGTGGCTAATGACCCAAAAATCAAATGCTCAACTACATAAAAGGTGGGGCTAAAATCCAAAGTTGAAGCTGAATATCTTAGTCATCCAACCAATGGCATTATATGCATGATCAAAGGACAACGATCCAAAAGTTGTATAACAAAACCATGCTTATCAACTTTAACTGTCTAAACATCAGGTTATTTCTTTACCTGGTCATTCAAACAACCACCAGTCCTAATTAGCATGGTTAATGGGTCAGGTCAGTCAGGGTCAGCTAGACCTAGCCCCAAACCAATTAGAAAACAACCAGACCCTATAGGGTTTGTAAGTAATAGACCTAGAACTGATGCTAAATTAATCAGGCTTATTGGGTCCGACCCAGTATGACCTGATTAATTGACAGCCCTTTACCTACTAATTATCTTTTCTCTTCTCTAATTATCTTATGACTGCAAATGAGTTGGACCTGATCTGATTTGAATTCAAATCCTATCCGACTATTGCCAGATTTGGATTTCCACTTAATCTAAATGAATTGGATTAAGAAATATGATCCATTATGTTATCAGATTGAATTCAGATATAGGCCAATCTGATCCAATTTGTTTTGTGTATATTACCAAAAAAATCTCACATTCTACAAACCCTAATAACTTATTCAACTATTCATTCTCATCTCAGACATCTCTTTGAGAATGATGGCACTAGCCAAGAGAGACAACCCAACTGTGAGCAGCACTACCCAGATTTGTGAACTCATCTCCCCCACCTTCCTGACTCTCTCACTTTCTCTCAACTACTACAGCACATGTTTTCCTTTTTATTCCATTTCAGATCATAGCCACCAAGGTGACGCCTACGCAATAAGGCGCTCGTGGAGGGTCGCCTCGCTTAATTGCCAAGATATTTTTTACATGGTGCCCTTGGATACTTTTATATTCTTAAGATTATAATAATAAAATAGACACTATCAAACTAAACTATTCAGTTTAAGTTAAAATACTAGTTTCTTTTTATTATTTTTCTCATTTGTTAGGGTTCAACCAGCATGCATACTGCCTCGAACCCTCGAAGACTTCAAAACTTGAACTGATAAGCATGGATCATATTAGTTTGGTTCACATCCATGATGTGAGATTCTGTGGAAGTGCTTTGGAACCTAACCACAAATTCTAGGTTACCTATGCAATTCCTGACCCAACCTGTTCAACAACCCACTTATAAGTAGAGGTGGATGTGGCAGCTTCATTCAGCATATCGGATATGGGTTGACAACCACTGGGTCAAGCTTAAATGGGTGGGCTTGGGTTGGGTAACGGTTCCTATTGGGTCTGGTTGTATAAACAGGAATGAGATAGGTCCACAACCGTCTCCAACCTCCCTCACATATGTTACATATATACATGCATATATATGTACCCTAAAAGAGTTTCCAAAAACATGTCCCATGAAAGGAGCATGCTATGGTGTTATTAGGGCCTAGGGGATAACACAGGGCAAGATAAAATTATGAAAATATGAATAAAAATAATAGGCAATGAAAGATAAGACAATTTGATATCTACACCTCAATCTGAACAAGTGACTGGTTAACATTTCACAACCCAAATCTAACCAAAACCTGATACAATTCACACCAAACCTGTCCTAATAGGGGCAGAGTACTTTACCTGATTAACCTGCCCCTAATTGACAACTCTAGAGAAACGTGAGGGTGGAGGCTGGATTCAATCCCAGGTCAGCAAGAACTTAATGTACATACTTCACCAGCTATCCACCTTGTATTGACATTATCCCCAAATAAAATTGACTATGCAATATTACAACCTTTTATTTAAAAACTGTCCACAAAAAGGGACATTTTAGAGTTGTGGCTGGAACAACAGGTAAGGTCACCATGATGCATACATGTAACATTTGTTGCTTGAGAATGCACTGGTTTGTAGTTCTGCAGGTAAGAAAGCATGAATACATCCATCCATATGCAGATACAAGTATAGAGAGGTGGAAAAGCATAGTTTACCCCTGGTGTGGTTACAATGTCCTCATATCCATCTGGAGTTGGCCCATCATATTGTGGAATCTTTGAAGCTGTCATAATTTGACTTAATAGCAAACCATTTGCCATCACTTTGCCAAATCTATTTGGTGAATTTCTCACCTGACCTGCCTGAAACCCAATGGTGTACCCATAAGATTATGTAGAAGTTTTATCAAACAAAAAAATTCAGCAATAGACAGACACAACTTTCAACATGCAAGCAGAGTAGATTTCAAGAATATCCACTGCACATTAAATGATAAAACAAGTTGCATAGCAGAACTATTTTATGAATTTATGCTTATGATACCAAACATCAACATAATATAGCCTAAATCTAATGGAGTTCCACCAAGGAACCATAGTTGTAATAATGAAGCACAAAATTAAAAACAAAATGGAGCAAACAATCATGTTAATATATGTTATCTGAAGGTTAAAAGTAGATCAAACTTGACCAAGTTTGGAATTCATTTTAAGGTGATGTCCATCTCCCATATGGCCATACATGAAGGTAGAAATATTGGGCCGGATGGGCCATAGTTCCTTTATGTTCTTTTGGTTATTAGTTTTTGAGTTAATAGGCCTCTAATCTTGTGGGCCTGTTAGCCTTTTTCTCCTTGAGTTTATAAGCAGACGCCCTATAGAGGGTAATCTTGTAAATTAACTCGTTAGTTTCAAATTATGTTAATAAAAGTAATTAGGGGCTGGAGAGAATAGTAAGATTTACTCCTCTCCTTCTCCCTCTTCTTCTCTCTTCCTCTTAACACCGATTCTCTCTTTCTTTTGCTGCTTTTCTTTGATTAAACAAAGGATAAATTGCTGGATGTTTTTTCACCTGATTCAATGGTGGAACTTACTAGCATGCCTTCTCTTTGGGCAAGAGTGTGGAAACCTGTTCAATGCTTTGCCACCATTATCCCAACTTCTCTACATTTACTAACAAGAGAACATAGATCCCCACCTAGGGACAATTGTTTGGTGCATTGATGTAATCTTGGGCTGACAAGCATGAGAACATGGCTTTAAGTCTGAGAGCGGCTATATGTGCAAAATTTGTCAAAAGTTAGGTCTATATCCAGTCTATTCCTCCATAGTTGGGAGTATTGGGACAGGCATTAGGTAATTGCCCTTCAGAACATGGATCCCCACCTCAACTTCTTGTTTTAGTTCAATTAGTCAAGTCCTATTAATCCCCGTTAGAGATGCAGTTGGTATTTTTATTGTCTCTTTTCTAGCATATGTACAACTTTTGTATCTTAGTGACCATCGATATGTCAAGGCGCCATTGTTTGGTGTAATGGTAACATCTACGCTGACAAGGCTGAGAAGCCAGGTTTGAGTCTAAAAGTGGCCACTTTGTGCTAACAAAAAAAAAAACAAAGGATAGGTCCATATCCAGTCTACCCCTCCCAAAACCCCAGATAGTTGGGACTAATATCGGGTAATGGCTTTTTTATCACTATTGATACATCACCATTACTCATGCAATCCTGGCATTCTGCAAGTTCTCTTGGCATCTCAACAGTAAAACTGACTTCGTGATGCAGCTAGCTTGCCCAGTGCTTGCCAGATATTGTTTTTTAAGAGATGTAGGCTAAATACCATTTTGCTTTATGTCCTTGGGGTGGTTAGATGGTCAAACATGTTAGTCAAGGAGGGCCTACTTTATGTGGTGATACAAGTTGACCAAGACTTGTGTTTATTGTATATACTTTTTTTGAATGAGTAATGAAAAACCTCAATTAAGGATGTAAAAAAATGGAAAAATTAGCCATTTTATGGTCTATAGTCCCCTATATCCAAAATAAAGAACCAAATAATAAATACAAAACCTCTCCTCGAAGTGAGGGCACAGACTGACACATCTTTTTTTCACAATAGAAATTTGGAGATGAAATTGATAAAATTATAAAGAGAAAGTAGAGAAAAAAAAGAGGAAAAAAGTCAAAGAATAGGGAGCATCTCTAATATATTATATTCCTTTCTTTTATTACGTAAGACATGAATATACAATAGTACCAATACAACTCTCACTCACACGCATACACACTATGATCTCCATATGCCTATACGTGTGTTACCATTTTTAAAATATGTAAAATGGTATGCTTTAACAAATTATATTACAAAAAATCTGCACACATTTGAACTTTTACTAAATTTCGCAAGACATTAGTCTTGAGTAATGACATTTAGTTTCAAAAACTAGATATAAATGCATGATGTTAACATATTACATGGGATAACTGTACCCATAGTCATCTTCAAGATTTTAGGAAATGGACAGTTGTATCCCCATTTCCCTAATCTGTGTTTGTGTTCTTTGTTCGTTTCCGTATCTAGATATCACACATTTTCAGTTAATACATTGACAAATTGATGTGTTCACAAACACAATAAACAGATCTTCTTTGAGACAAGATTCTCTTGAATGAAATGTTGCACTTCCATGCCTTCAATTCAGTCATCTTGTTTAGGAATAAGAAGGATACTAATGAAAGCTTTGTTTTTTTTTTTTATCAATAATGAAAGCTTTATTATCACAATTCTTCTTATACATAAATAAGTGTATGAATCCTTCTACAGAACACCCAGATTTCCAAAGCCTTCAACCTAGGGTGGTTTTATATTATAAGATATATAATATATGCATAAATATATGTTATATTTTATAAAATATGAAATATTACATATAATATATATTATGTGCAAAGTTCTAAAATGTGGAGGCATGACATGAAGTTTTCCACTACTTGAAGTCATGAGGTGTAGTTCGTGCAAGAGGCATAAGCCTCCTGAGCACAAGGAGATGTATGCCTCCTCTATGGTAGCAGTAGCATTGCTCAGAGGCATCCATGCCTCCAGGCCTGGTGTTGGGACACAAACTAAAGAAATACAAGTGTACAAGAAAAGGCCACGACAGCCTTTAAAGATTGTAACTAACAGCCAACCACTAGATCAAAGATTGTAACAAACTAGACAAGTGGACTGACAAGTGGAGAAGCTGGTACAACAGAACTGTAACAGCTGTATAACAGCAGTGTATAAATAACAACAGGCTATAATCGAATGGGATTATTGAATTGGGAATACAACCTCTCTCTCTCTCATTCTGGAGGCAGGCTCCCTCGAAGAGTCCCTGAATTGGTATCAGAGCCAATTCAGAGCCAAGATGCCAAGCACAAGATCATCAGCAATGGAGAACAGAGTCGATTACATGGAAGGAGAAATGCAAAGAATATCAGCCAATGTCAAAGAAATCAAAGAAAGCTTTGCATCCTTGCTGGAAAGACTGGCACAGGCACCCTGCGCAAAATCAGGAAGAACACAGTGACACCAGTCATTGAAGTGGATCAAGAACTGCAAGAATCGAGTTTCCCATCTTCACAGGAGGAGATCCCACTTCCTGGCTTCTGCGAACAGAAAGATACTTCGATTACCACGACACACAAGGCCCTGATCGTGTTCCACTAGCCTCTGCACACCTGGAAGGAGAGGCGATCGTCTAGTACCAATGGTACCGGTGACGACACCCAAGGGCCACATGGGCCGACTTCACCGACGCCTTAACCATGCGATTTGGGGTCTCAGCCTTTGAGAATTATGACGAAAGCCTCGCCAAGCTACGACAGACCAGCTCCGTCCAAGATTATCAGATGACGTTTGAAAGATTGGCAGTGCGCGTGCAAGGCTGGCCAGAAAACGCGCTTGTTGGCAGTTTTGTTGGAGAACTTAAGGAGGAATTGCGACTGGAGGTAAAAGCCATGCAGCCCACCACCGTTCTTGAAGAAGCAGCAATAGCCCGATTACATGAAGACAAAATAAACCGGGCAAGAAGGATCAGCCGACCCTTGGGAGCTGCGATCAGACCTGGTGTAACCAACCAAGAACCTGGAATCTTGGGTAAACCAGAGCCCAGATCAAGAGTAGGAATCACAGGCAAGGATGCCAGCTCTGGTTCAGGCCCCGGCTCATCCAAGA